GTTAGGGAGGAGGTAGGTCAGTCCAGGGAGATAGGTCAGTCAAGGGGGTGGGATGAGGTTGGTAGGTAGGAGATGGGGGTGGGGCTTGAGGTAGGAGGAGGGGATAGGTGGGAGGAAGGACAGGTTAGGGAGGCGGGGACAAGCTGGGCTGGTTTTGGGATGCGGTAGGGGAAGGGGAGATTTTGAAGCTTGTGAAGTCCACATTGATACCATTGGGCTGCAGGGTTCCCAAGCGGAATATGAGTTGCTGTTCCTGCAACCTTCGGGTGGCATCATTGTGGCACTGCAGGAGGCCCAGGATGGACATGTCATCTGAGGTATGGGAGGGGGAGTTGAAATGGTTCGCGACTGGGAGGTGCAGTTGTTTGGTGCGAACCAACATAGATGTTCTGCAAAGCGGTCCCCAAGCCGCTGCTTGGTTTCCCCGATGTAGAGGAGGCCACAACGGGAACAGCAGATACAGTATACCACATTAGCAGATGTGCAGGTGAACATTTGCTTGATGTGGAAAGTCTTCTTGGGGCCTGGGATGGGGGTGAGGGGGGAGGTGTAGGGGCAGGTGTAGCACTTCCTGCGGTTGCAGGGAAAAGTGCCGGGTGTGGTGGGGCTGGAGGGGAGTGTCGAGCGGACAAGGGGGTCACGGAGAGAGTGGTCCCTCCAGAAAGCAGATAAGGGTGGGGAGGGAAAAATGTCTTTGGTGGTGGGGTCGGAGACCCCTTCAAAAAATGCAGTTTCTCCCGTATTAGCACATGTCTACTAGAAACCCTGGAACTCCTTTCCTAACATCATTTGGGTGTCCCTACATTCCAACAACAATCTGGCCGGATCAGAATATGTGTGGCTTTGAGGGAACTTGTGGGTGATAATGATCAAATGAGGCTCAATACTCATTTGGTTATCTGTTTCTGATTAATGTCTAAACGCAAATCAATAAAGTAGTTAACAAAAAAATGTGTAGAATGAAATGGCTGCAGGAAACTATCTGTTAGAGATAAGATGACTTGTTAGCTCATCTCAGTGAATATAAATGAAACTAATTTTAAAATGTTTTTCTGGAAAGCACTATGTGAATCCACTTGCATGTCACTGATTGCAAAGATAATTATGAGATTTTTGCATCCTAGTCGCTGGGTCTCCTTTATCTGGTTGCAGGAGTAATACTTTACTGCAGCTATCCATGGAGGCCACTAGTAAAGGGGCCTGCTTTTCAATAGATGAGGGAGTGAAAGATTATGGGATGCAAACAGGAAAGTGGAGTTGACAGCATAACCAGGTCAGTCATGATCTCATCGAATGACCTTCTCCTAATTCAACTCCCTTTCTTAATTTGTAATGACTCAAGTTAAAGCATACCAACGGTGAAACTTTCACTTAAACAGATTAAACATTATTTTATTTGTGATAAGGAAATAAAGTATTAAATAGGAAATTACAAATACTGAGATTAAAACAATTACAGGTAACACCAAAAAACATCATAGAGATTTACAGAATGGAAAGAGGCTGTTTGGGTCATTCTGTCCAAGCCAGTCATCAAGTACCTATGTGGACTCTTGTCCGTTTTCCAACACTTAGCCCTTCACCTTGTATGCTATGGCACTTTAAACGATCATCCAAACATGCATTAAATGTTATGACAGTTCTTGCCTCTGTCACATTTTCAGGTAGTGAGTTCCACATGCCTATCTCCCACTAGGTGAAAGCATTCTTCCTTCAATCTTCCCCAAGCTTCCTGCTCTTTGCCTTAAATCTTTGCCACCTGGTTGTTGATCCCTCTACTTAGGGGAAAAGTTTCTTCCTATCTACCCGATCTATGCCCATCATAATTTTGTACATTTCAGTCAGGTCCTCTCTCAGCTTTCTCATTTTCTCAGAAAGAAAAGCATATCTTATCTCTCTACATAGCTGAGACACTCTAGCCCAGGTAACATCCTGTTGAATGTCCTCGTCACCCTCTAATGCAATCACATCCATCATATGGTGTAGTGTGGTGACCAGAAATGCACACAATATTCCACCGGGGTCGAACCAGCATCTCATTCAGCTCTGTCATAACCTTGCTGCTATTATATTCGATACCTCGACTAATAAAAGCGGGTATCCCATATGCCTCCTTAACCACCTTTATCCACTTGTTCTGTTGCTTTCAGGAATCTGTGGATAGTCACATCAAGGATTTTGTGATCCTTTGTACTTCCAGAGTCCTACCATTAATGGTATACTCTTTTCCCTTATTAGACCTCTCAAAACACATGACCTCACACTTTTCAGGATTTAATTCCATTTGTGGTCTGACCAGCCTGTATGTATCATCCTGTAGATTAAAGCTTTCCTACTCACTATTTGCCATGACACCAATTTTCATGTCATCTTTAAATTTACTGATTAAAATTTCTACGTATCACATCTAGATCATTAACGTACATTGCAAACAGCAAGGGGCCCAGCATTGAAACCAGTTGCACACCACTGAACACAGACTTCCAGTCACAAAAACAACCTTCGACCATCACTTGTTGCCTCCTGCCACAAAGCCAATTTTGGATCCAATTTGCCAAATTTCACTGGATGCCAGGGGCTCATAGCTTCATGCTAAGTCTCCTTCTATGCGACTTCATCAATGAAATCCACATAAACTACACCCAATGTAATATCCTCATCCACACATCTAGTCACCTCCTCAAGAAACTTAATCAAGCCTGTCAGGCATGATCCGCCTTGATTATTCCTTGCCTGTCCAGCTGGAGATTATTACATGGTGCATTCTGCTTTTGAACATTTGAGCTTAAGCCTAAGCAAGTTCACTCTGCATGCGTTGCATATGTGCAAGTGAAATGTAATTGGATTATTGAAAACTACGCTTTGAGTACTCCCTTCCTTTTTCCTAATGTCCAGCAGACATGGATCCTGCTCTTTCATCCATCAAACTGACACAGTCTTTGTCTGACATAGTCTACCTTGGGTATTGTCTCAGCCATTTTTCAGTTGCATTACGCGTGTAGAGAACTGTAGGTGATGGCAGTAAGTTTGCGGTGGATACCGTCATCACTGAAGGCTACCTAGTCACCAGGTACCCTTTTACCTCACACTACCCTGACAGTCCAATTCTATCTGCCCCGCATCTACCTACCACATTGAATTTTGCCTCTCACTGTTTCCCTGCCCCCTAATCCCTGACTGCTCACTTGCTCCACAATGGAGGTCACTGTCAATAACCTCCCTTTCCGTGGTCTAAAATGATATTCGCATTCCTTTCTTGACTTCTCCCTGCCACCGTCCTTGTTTCCAAATCCATAAGTGTGTCTGCTTACCAGCCCCCACACAGCCTTGATTCCCCACTCCTTTTAGCTGTGAACCCCTGCCACTTGCATCCTCCTAACTACTGATGGAGAGACACCTAGGACTATTCGTCCCAGACTTCAATGAGTAATCCCTACACATGACTAACCAGGCCCCTGACTGCTGTCTTTGTAGCTCCTTGACTGACAATATCTAACTCCTCTGCCTTCTTGTGCTGACCCCAGGAAGGACCGTTGTTGAACTTCAGTCAAATACATTCCCTGAGCATCCCAAGCTGATGACTGATTGTGACCAAGCCTCTGGACTACACCCCAAACATATCCGTGACTGATGGTACTGGGATCCTCTGCCCAACAGCATGACCTCCACTCCTTGACTGGACTGAGGATTAACGCCTCTGCCCCCATCCAGTTTCCAACATGGCCGTTTGTTAAATACCCTAGCAGTGCATTTGTCACACAGGCAGCTGGTAGATGCTGTCAGTGTTAGGTTGATATCTCAGTGCTCTGTATATTGAGATGTTCCCCCACTTCGCTCCAGTTAGATCCCTCTTGACAAGCATAACACATAGCCTGTCTGTGTGTCTGCACAAAGGAGAACGTCAATACAGCAGTATTGATGGTCTTTGAGTCTGGCTAAAGCATCAAGGCGTTAATAGGTATCACATAGCAAGGATTGCAAGACATGATGCTGCAAGCATGCAAGTAGGCACTAAGTGAGCAAGCATTAAGAGTGGGGAGCTCTGATATGTATAGCCTACTTCAATTTGTCAACCTGTCCTTGTGCAAAGTGTACATGCTACAGCCTCTCAATGCTAGATGCCAATGTGCCCTGCAGTGCAAATCTGTGCTTCCAAAGCAGCCTGCAAGTGGACCAGAGAAGTACAGTGATGGTCCTGTGCAGTTGGCAAATGCCAGATGCCAGTGTCCATGAATGAGAAGTGCATGTAGCTGGTGCCTGTGGGTCATGGCCTGAGATATGCTGCAAGGTCCTAAGCAACCTGTAGACTCTTCACGGCTAGCAGGCGGCTGATGTCAACAGGTACCAACCCTGATTTCCATGTCAAGGATTCTCGAAGTCCGGCTTGTTTGTTAAGATAGGAAGCTGAATATTAATGAGCCAAGTTGCAACATTAAAAGACGTTTAACAAATACAATGCTCCTTAATTGGCAACTCATCACTGCCTACTGAGAAATGCGTCTCATCACTCAGCGAAAGTATATAAGGTGGAATGAGATGCTCTTGACACAAGATAGGCCTCACCGGAATTCTCAACCAACTGTGCCGCAAATCTTGCTATAGTCCAGATCATTCAGATCCTTGTAAGATTCTGCTGTCTGTTTTTAATCCAGGCTAGATGACTCATCATCTTTATACAGTAGATTCCACTGTTTTTAGTATTGCAAATCTAGCTGAAGTTCAAATTTAGCAGATTTAAGCTCCTCATGTTACCTTACATTTGTCCCTACATTGATTCTTTACTGACTCCCGTGAAGTAAGTTCCACTTCCTTTGCAATGGTAATTCCAATGCCTCACCTATTTCAATATTCTTATTCTCTCTGATTCTGACTGTTATGTTTTCAGTTTTTATTTTCTCAGAATAGCATTCTCTCATTGTCAGATACTGAATGAAGTAAATTTTATTCTACCTGTGTTTTTTTGGCATGCTGCATAACTCATGTCCATTTTGTTCTTATAGCCTCCATGGTACTCCCCTGACTGATTCTGGACTAGCTGTACTGAACCCTGTCCTATCCCTGCATCCCTCCCTAATATCACTGGATCTCGGAGACTGTATTCTGGGAGATGAAGGAATGAATCTCATTTGTGGATTGTTGCCGCCGGACGGGGCAAAGTCAGGTATGTATTTTATATACTATTTGTTCTGAATAACACAGTCAGGCTATAGAAATAAAGGCCAAAATTTTGGTTTGACGCAACCTAGGCAGCAGATGCAGTGGTTTGTCTGATAAATTTACCATATGAAGTGGTCTCTCGTTTAACATCCTCATTAGCTAGTCTCAGAAAGCAAAGAATAAAGGGACTCTTCCATTGATTCCAAGATCTTTTGGCTAATCTCTAATGATTAGGAATTGTGGGATAGTATCATTTGAGCAGGGTGTCTTGAGAAGAGCCTTTGGTTGTGCAGATTAATGGGATAATTTCTTAGCCAAATTTCCCTTTGACTAATCTCTGGAGGTGCACAATATTATAGAATCCTATTATTGATCCCAATGCAGATGCATGAATTAAGTACCAGAAAGACGCATTTGGCAACTGAGGGAATTTGGTGATATGAGGCATGAGGTGCATTCTCCTCTTACAAAAAAAAGGTCCAAGAGAGGGAGAAAAATTAGCAAGTCCCAAAAGCTGAAGGTCAGAGGCATTAAATAATTGGAAAATTGCGCGTCACTCTGCTTTTCAAGATAGACAAAAGAGGAAAACCAGGGAAATATATATCAGTTAGCCTAACATCTATGGTGGGAAATTGTTGGAGTCTGTAATCAATGACAGGGTAACTGAATACCTCAAAAATTGTCAGTTAATCAGGGAGAACCAGCGTAGATTCATGATATGTACGTTTTGCATAATAAACATCATTGAATTTTTTTAAGAGGTGGCTAAGGTTTATATGGACTCCCAGAGGCATTTGATAACGTCCCTCACAAAATACTATTAACTAAGGTAGAAGCCCACACAGTTGAAGGTAAATTATTAACATGCCTGGGGTATTAGTTGAGTGGTAGGTGACAGAAAATAGAATTAATGTGTAGGTACTCAGATTGCCAGGATGTGACTAATGGTGTCCCATAAGGATTTGTATTAGAGCTTCAGTTACTCATACTATTTATTAACAACTTGGAAAATGTCATAGGAAGTCATAATTAAAAATTTGCAGATGATGCAAAGTTAGGCGGCATTGTAGACAAAAGCATAAAATTACAAAGGGATATTGATAGACTAGTGAATGGTCAAAACTGTGAGATGGATTCCAATGTAAGCAAGTGTGAGGTTATCCATTTTGGACTGAAAAAGAGTACTTTCTAGATGGTGTGAAGTTAAGTAGAGTGGATGTACAAATGGGCTTGAGTGTTCAGCTGCATAGATTTTTAAAATACCACAAACTGGTGCAGAAGTAATCAAGAAGGCGAATGGAATGCTGGCCTTTGAGGATATGGTGTCAATCAAGCAAGCTGCTTTGTCCTGGATGGTGTCAAGCTTCTTAAGTGTTTTGGACCTGGAGAGTATTCCATCACACTTCTGACTTGGGGCTTTTTACTTGGTGGACAGGCTTTGGGGAATCAGAAAGTGAGTTACTCACCACAGTATTCCTAGCCTCTAACCCGCTCTTGCAACCACAGTGTTTATGTGGTGAGTCCATTAGAGTTTCTGGTCTATGGTAACCCCAGGATGTTGTTAGTGGGGCGATTCAGTGGTGGTACCACCATTTTTGTGGCAAAAATGTTACCGGCCACTTGTCAAATCAAGCCTGGATATTGCCCAGATCTTGTTCCGTTTGAACATGGACTGCCTCAGTATCTGAGGATTCGTAAATGGTGCTGAACATTGTACAATCATCAGCAAACATCCCTTTTCTGACCTTACGATGGAGGGAAGGTTATTGAACATGAGTGGCCTGTTACTTAGGCTGTATTGAGCTTAGGAGCTGAGTGGCCGTGGTGGAACCCAAACAGGGAATCACTAAGCAGGTTACTGCTTAGCAGGTGCTGCATGATAACTTCCATCACTTTACTGTGATTGAGAGTAGACATCGACGGTAATTGGCCAAGTTGGATTTGTCCTGCTTTTCATATACAGGACATACCTGAGTAATTTTTCACATTGTCAGAAAGATAACAGTACTGTAACTGTACTGGAACAGCTTGGCTAGGGAGCTGCAAGTTCTGGAACACAAGCCTTCAGTACTATTGCTGGAATATTGTCAGGGCCTGCAGTCTTTGCAGTATCCAATGCCTTCAATCTTTTCTTGATATCAAATGGAGTGAATTGATTTGGCTAAAGACTGTTACGTGTAATGCTGGGGACCACTGGAGGAGGGCAAGGTGGATCATCCACTCAGCACTTCTGGCTGATTGCCGCAAAAACTTCAGCCTTATCTTTTGTACTAATGTGTTGGGCTCTTCCATCTTTGATGATGGGAATATTTATGGAACCTCCTCCTCCCTTGAGTTGTTTAATTGTCCACCACCATTCACAACTAGATGTGGCAGGACTGCAAAGCTTCAATCTGATCCGTTGGTGTAAATTAGCTCTGTCAATCACTTGCTGCTCATGCTGTTTGGCATGCAAGTAGTCCTGTTTGGTAGCTTCACCAGGTTGCCACCTCATTTTCAGCTACACCTAGTGCTGCTCCTGGCATGCCCTCCTAGCACTGTCCATTGAACCACAGTTGATCACATGACCTGATGGTAATGGTTGAGTGGGGGATATGCCAGACATTGAGATTATAGATTGTGTTGGAGCACAATTCTGCTGCTGTTGATGGCTCACAACACCTCATGGATGCCTAGGCTTGAATTGCTAGATCTGATCAAACTCTGTCCCGTTTAGCATGATGATCGTGCCACACAATGGAGATTATTCTCAATGTGAAGATGGGATTTCGTCTCCACAAAGACTATGCAGTGGTTGCTCTTACCAATACTGTCATGGACAGATGTATCTGCAGCTGGCAGATTGGATAGGATAAGTTCAAGTTGATGGTTCCCTCACCACCTGCTGCAGACCCAGACTAGCAGCTATGTCCTTTAGGACCTGACTAGCTCAATCAGTAGTACTGCTGCCAAGCCACTGTTGGTGGTGGACATTAAAATCCCCCACCTAGGAGTACATTTTATGTCCTTGCGACCCTCAGCGCTTCCACCAAGTGTTGTTTAACATGGAGGAGTACTGATTCAACAGCTGAGGAAGAACAGTACGTGGTAATCAGCAGGAAGATTCTATGCTTGTTTTAACCTGAAGCCATGAGACTCCATGGGGTCTGGAGTCAATGTTAAGGACTCTCAAGGCAATTCCCTCCCGATTGTATACCACTGTGCTGCCACCTCTGCTGGCTCTGTCCTGCTTGTGGGACAGGACGTATCCAGGGATGGTGATAATGGTGTCTGTGACATTGCCTGATTCCATGAGTATGACTACATCAGGGCAGTTGCTTGACCAGTCTGTGAGACAGCTCTCCCAATTTTGGCACTAGCTCTCAGATGTTGGTAAGAAGGGCTTTGCAGGGTCAACACGGGTGTTTCTACCATTGTCTTTTCTGGTGCCTAGGTCGATACCAGGTTTAATTTCGTTGTTGAGAGTTCACAGCAATTGGTATAATTGAGTGGCTTGCTCGGTCATTTCAGAGGGCAGTTGAGAGTCAGCCACATTGCTGTGGGTCTAGTGTCACATGTAGGCCAGACCAGGTGAGGATGGCAGATTTCCTTTCCTGAAGCACATCAGTAAGCCAGATGGCATTTTTTCCTGACAATTGCCAATGGTTTCATGGTCAGCAGTAGATTATTAATTCCAGATATTTTTATTGAATTCAAAGTCCACTATCTGCTGTGATGGGATTTGAACCCGGGTCTCCAGAACATTAGCTGAGTTTCTGGCTTAACAATTCAGCAATACTATCATTAGGCCATCGCCTCCCCACAATCTGCTTTCTTGTTTTCAGCAGCCGGTGTACAAGGACACCCAGGTCTTGTTGCACCTTCTTCTTTCCCATCACCATTCAGCAAATAATCTGCTGTTTTTGTTACAAAAGTGGATAACCTAACATTTATCCCCATTATATTTCATCTGCCGTACATTTGCACCCTCGCTTATTTTACCCAAATCACTCTGAAGCATCTCTGCATGCTTCTCACAGTTTACTCTCCCACCCAGCTTGTCGCCTGCGAACATGGAAATATTACATTTAGTTTCCTCATCTAAATCATTAACATATATTGTGAATAGTTGGGGTCCAAGCACTGATCCACTAGCATTACCCCACTAGTCACTGTCTGCCATGTGAAAAAAAGACCTGTTTATTACTTTTTGGCAACCAGTTCTCTATCCATGTTGGTATACTCCCCAGTCCCTTGCATTTTAATTTCAAATGCTAATCTCTTATTTGGTACCTTATCAAAAGCATAATGAAAGTCCAAGTGAACCACATCCACTAGCTCCTCCTCATCAGCACTACTAGGTACCTTTTCAAAAAAAAACTCCCGTAGATTTTCATAAATCCATGCTGAATTTGTCCAATTCTATCACTGTTTTCCAAGTGCTCTACTACTACATCTTTTATAATGAACTATAGCATTTTCCCAACTACCAATGTCAGGCTAACTAGTTTATAATTCCTTGTTTTTTCTCTACTGCCTGTTTTAAATAGTGGTGTTACATTAGCTAACCTATGAAAGGGAAGAATTTATTCAATCAACAACTCCTTTGTCTTTTGCATAAGACCTCCATACCATCTGCCCTCTTGCTCCACCTCTGCTTCTGATAGTATAAAAGTATAAAAGACAGCCTATTTTCCAAATAAAAACCAAAAGAACTGCAGATGCTATAAATCAAGAGCAAAAACAAAGTTGCTGGAAAAGCTCAGCAGGTCTGGCAGTCTGTTCTGAGGAAGGGTCACTGGACCCGAAATGTTAACTCTGACTGTTCTGAGGAAGGGTCACTGGACCCGAAATGTTAACTCTGACTTTTTACTTCACAGATGCTGCCAGACCTGCTGAGCTTTTCCAGCAACTTTGTTTATGAGCCTATTTTCCAACACCTTTCAGTTTTGGAATTAAGTCGTACTAGACTTGAAACACTAACTATATTTCCCTCTCCACAGATGCTCTCAGACCTGCTGAGTTTCTGCAGCATTCTCCATATTGGTTTCAGATTTCTAGCATCCACAGTATATTGCCTTTATTCAGAAGGTTGTATCAAATTCAGAACCAGCAACAAACTGAACTCTTTCAACCTCATCATCACTGCTAAGGTGCAGCATAGAAATCTAGCAGCACTATTAATCAATCAGAAATTGCTGGAAAAATTCTGCAGGTCTAGCAGCATCTGTGGAGAGAAAGCAGAGTTAACGTTTTGGGGCTGGTTACCCTTCTTCAGACTAAGGAATTTCTGATACTAATCTCAGGAAGAGTCCTGGAGAGGTGGTAGCTTAGTGTTATTGTTGCTTGACTGCTAATCTAGAAACTCAGCTGATGTACTGGGACCTGGGTTCAAATCCTGCCATGGCAGATGATGGCACTTGAATTCAATAAAAATAATCTGGAATTAAGAATCTACTGAAAACCATGAAATCCCCCATCATCAACATAAATTCCATATTCCCCCAGCTACTATTCCATATTCCCCCAGTGGGGCGGCAAGGTGGCACAGTGGTTAGCACTACTGCCTCACAGCACCAGGGACCCAGGTTTGATTCCAGCCTCGGGTGTCTGTCTGTGTGGAGTTTGCACGTTCTCCCCGTGTCTGCGTGGGTTTCCTCCGGGTCCTCCGGTTTCCTCCCACAGTCCAAAGATGTGCAGGTTAGGTGGATTGGCCATGCTAAATTGCCCGTAGTGTTCAGGGATGTGTAGCTTAGATGGGTTATAGGAGGATGGGTCTGGGTGGGATGCACTGAGGGTCAGTGTGGACTTGTTGGGCCAAAGGGCCTGTTTCCACACTGTAGGGATTCTATTCTATACTAACAGTCACATACCTTTACCAGTTCCAAGGTTTTCTCAAATGTTTTGTCTCACTCAGGGGATTACTTGATTTTGGGTCAGGATGAATGATTAGCAAGTGCATCTAAGGCTGGTGATGTATTAAAAACGTCATGCTATAAGAATGTAGGACAGGTTTGATTTTGTATTTGCATGTTTCATATGTACAGTGATCTGCTTCATATTTATTTTCCTCATATTGTGACTTGTGTGATGACATCTCACTTTCTGCCACAACTTCTGTTTTCTCTCAGGTCTGAAAGAGCTAACACTGAGTGCTAATCCTGCAATTACAGTGAAGGGTTGGGCACGCCTGGCAATAGCAGTTGCCCACAGTTCTCAACTTCGTGTCCTTAACTTGGATTATAATCCTCTAGGTGAGACTATCTGATACAGATGTAAATTAATTCAGTATTATTTTGAATCAATTCTTAGAACCATCTTTTGAAATATATTCACTTTTTTCTGACTCTGGTTTGTTAGTTGATGATTAGTTGATGACCCAGGCCAGTTTTTATGGAGAGGAAAGCTAGTACACAGGTGCAGCAGGTAATCAGGAAGGCCAAAAGAACGTTGGATAACAAGGTGTAGAGCTGGATGAACAAAGCAGGCCAAGCAGCATCAGAGGAGCAGGAAAGCTGATGTTTTGGGTCTGGTTTTGGGTCCCTGCTCCTCTGATGCTGCTTGGCCTGCTGTGTTCATCCAGCTCTACACCTTGTTATCTCAGATTCTCCAGCATCAGCAGTTCCTATATCTCCAAAAGAATGTTGGCCCTTGTTTCAAGGGTGTGGGAGTATAAAAGCAAGGAAGTCTTACTGCAACTGTTCAAGATGCTGGTGAGATCACATATGGAATAATGTGAACAACCTTGGTCCCCTTATTTTAGAGAAATTACTATTTCATTAGAGGCAGTTCAGAGAAAGTTAACTAGGATGATCCCTTCTCTGGAAGGATTGTCTTCCAAGAAAAGACTAAACAGGTTGGGACTCTACTCACTTGTGTTAAGAAGAATGAGAGGTGATCTCGTTGAAACATATCAGATTCCTAAGGGACTTGACAGGGTAAATGCTGAGAAGATGCTTCCCCTCATGGGAGAGTCTAGGACCAGAGAGCATAGTTTCAGAATAAAGGGGCACCAATCTAAGACTGAGATCAGGAGGGATTTCTACTTTCAGAGAGTTGTGAATCTTTGGAACACCTTGCCACAGAGAGCTGTGGGGCAGAGTCCTTGTCTATATATAAGGTGAAGATAGATAGGGGATCAATACAGGAATCAACAGTTACAGGGAATATGCAGGGAAGTGGACACGATCAGTGTCAGAACAGCCATGATCCTACTGAATAGCAAAGCAGTCTTGAGGGGCTGAATGGCCTACTCTTGTTCCTATTTCTTATGGTCATACTGGAAACATCTATGGCAACTCCATTTTGCTCCTTTGATGGGGTTGCTGCTGAACTAAACAAAGAGCTGTTCTGGCCCTTTTGTGAACGTCTTGTCAAGGCATTTTGAAGGCAGAGCCCAGGAGAGAGGACTTCCTAGTTTTCTATTCCCTGGATGCTTTATAACCAACCTGCTGAGAGATGTTATTAACATTCCCTTGAGCATGGTGGAACTCTGGGCTCAGAAATAGGGATACTGCCACTATATCATAAGAACCCTCTTTGACACTGAGACAGTTGTCAGAGGTGCAACTGACCAAGAGGTTGGGTAATCCTCTTATTAGCTCCCAATAAGAAATTATTTTTCTTTGCAAAGCGATTTGCAGGGACAAGTAATTCATTCACACTCCATCTGCAATGGGCAGTCCCATACTGACTTTTATATTACTGGAAGGCACAAGTGTGGCCCAAATGATGTAGATCTAGCTACAATAGGAACTGGCACTGATCTGGAAAATCGACTAGAATTAAGAATGTGAATTTGCTCCACATCGATGCCAGAACAAGGAACCTCCTCGTGTTTTCAACTATCTCTATTGCAGTGCTGTCAAGCATTTCCACCGTCCTCAAAGCTAACAAAATCCAACACATTCCTCATGATGCCACTGAATTCCAAGGACTGGTACTTAACTGCGAATTATGTAGAAAATGTATTGAAAATACGAAGGCATTTTGGATAATTATAGACTGAGTCATTCCTTAAATAATAGATGATCATGGAATCCAGTCTTTTGAACACCACAAGATATCAAACACAGTGAAATTCATTCCTTTATTCCAGCTCCTGATGGTGCTATGAAGATTTACATTGATTCTTGGTCAGGCACTGCTCTGGCAGCTGCCTTTGTACCTCACTGGTAATACGTGACCTAGGTCACACAGAACGTCACAGTGCTGCCTACCTCCAGGAGAGAGATGCAAATGTGAATAAGAACATAAAGAACTAGGAGCAGGATTAGGCAATTCAGCCCCTTGAGCTAGTTCCACCATTTAATACATATATGGCTGAACTCATTTCAGCTTCAGCTCCATTTTCCTGCCCGCTCCCCATAACCCTTCAAATGATTTCTAATTAATAATGTCTATCTCACCCTTAAATTTATTCAGTGTCCAGTATTCACCGCACTCTGGAGTAAATTGAATTCCAGATTCATGACCCTTTGAGAGAAGGAATTTCTCCTCATCTCTGTTTTAAATCTGCCATCCCCTTATCCTAAAACAATGACCTCTTGTTCTAGATTGCCTTACATGAGGAAACATTCTTTCTACACAATAAAAAGAACTTTGGATGCTGGAAATTAGAAAAAAAAACAGAAATTGCTGGAAAAATTCAGTAGATGTGGCGGCATTGAGGGAGTGAAAGCAAAGTTAATGTTTTGGGTCATCTGAAATGTTAACTCTGCTTTCTCTCCACAAGTGTTGCTAGACCTGCCGTGTTTTTCCAGCAATTTCTGTTTTTATAACAGCTTTTCTGCACCTACTTTATCAGTCCCTTTTATCAACTTATGTAACTCAATTAGATAGACTCAGAGTAATACAGCATGGGAATGGACCCTTCGACCCAAACTGGTCCATGCTGACCGTGGTACCCACTCAGCTAGTTCCAGTTGCCCGCAATATCCCTCTAAACCTACCCCATCCATGTACCTATCCAAATATTTTTTTAAATGTTTCTAATGTACCTGCCTCAACCACTTTCTCTGGCAGCCCATTCCATATACATACCACTGTCTGTGTGAAGAAGTTGTCCCTCAGGTCATTCTTAAATTTACCCCCCTTCACCTTAAACCTATGCCCTCTAGTTTTCAATTCCCTATCCCTGTGAAAAAGGCTATATGCATTCATCCTATCTATGCCCTTCATGATTTTATATACCTCAATAAGGACACCCCTCAATCTCCTACATTCCAAGAAATAACGTCCTATCCTGGCCAACCTCCCCCTATAACTCAGGCCTCCTAGTCCTGGCAACATCCTCGTAAATCTTCTTTGCACACTTTCCAGTTTACCTATGTCTTTCCTATAACAGGGTGACTAAAACTGTACACAATACTCCAAGTGTGACTTCACCAATGACTGATACAACTGTAACATACCGTCCCAACTCCTATACTCAGTGCCTGCACCAAAGAAGGCCAGCATGCCAAATGCCTTCTTCACTACCCTGTCTACTTGTGACACCCATTCAACAAACTATGTTCTTGTACTCCTAGGTCTCTCCGTTCCACAACACTCCTCAGGACCTTACCATTTACTGTATAAGTCCTACCTTGGATTGACTTTCCAAAGTGCAACACCTCACACTTATCTGTATTGAACTGCATTTGCTAATCCTCAGCCCACTTCCCCGTCTGATCAAGATCCCTCTGTAATTTTTGATAACGTTCTTCGCTATCAACTATACCTCCTAATTTTATATCATCCGCAAACTTACTAATCATGTCTTGTACATTCACATCCAGATCATTTATGTAAATAGCAAATAACAAAGATCCCAGCACCGACCCCTGTGACACATCACTAGTTACAGGCCTCCAGTCCGAGAAACAACCTTCAACCACCACTCTCTGCTTCCTACCATCGAGCCAGTTTTTGAATCCAATTAGCTAGATCTCCCTAGATCCCATGTGACCTAACCTTCATGACTAGCCTGCCATGCAAGACCTTGTCAAAGGCCTTACTAAGGTCCACGTAGACAATATCCACTACTCCACCCTTATCTATCCTCTTGGTTACCTCTTTGGAAAACTCTAAAAGATTTGTCAGACATGACTTCCCATGCACAAATCCATGCTGACTATCCCTAATCAGACCTTGACTATCCAAATGTTGGTTGACCCTGTCCCTCAGTATTCTCTCCAATAACTTGCCTGCTACTGATGTCAGGCTCATTGGCCTGTAGTTCCCTGTCTTGTCTTTGCTACCTTTCTTAAACAATGGAACAACATTAGCCACCCTCAGTCTTCCAGAACTTCACCAGTGGCTAAAGATGAAGCAAAAATCTCTGCAAAGGTCTCTGCAATTTCTTCCCTAGCCTCCCACAATGTCCGACGATGAAATTGATCAGGCCCAGGGGATTTATACACCTCAATGCAATCTAAGGCTGCAAACACCTCCTCCCTGTTAATATGTATGCACTCCAAAACATTCTGACTTGCTTCCCTTTATTTCCTTAGCATCCCTGATTCTCTCTTCAGTAAACACTGAGGAGAAATATTCATTAAAAATCTACCCCCTCTCCTGTGGCTACGCACATAGACGGCCATTCTGATCTTTAAGGGGACCTATTCTCTCCCTAGCCACCCTTTTACTCTTAATATAGCTATGGAACCTCTTGAGATTATCTTTAACCTTTTCTACCAGAACCATCTCGTACCCTCTTTTTGATCCTCTGATTTCCCTCTTAAGTGTGCTCTTACACTTTTTATAGTCACCTATAGTCTATAGTCATCTATAGTCATCACTTGAGCCCGATAGCTTAAACCCAATATGTGCTGCCTTCATTTTCCTGACAAGAGCTTCAATAGCCCTCATCAGCTAGGGATCCCTAAACCTGTTAGCTTTTGCTTTCACCCTAATAAGGACATACTGTCCCTGGATTCTTGATATCACAAGATATCTTGATATCTTGATAAAAGCTCTCATTTGTCAGTCATTCATTTTCCTTCAAACAGACTCACCTAATCAACCGTTGCTAGATGCTGCCTATTGGCCCCAAAATTGGCCCTGCTCCAGCTTAGCATCTTAACCTGTAGACCTGTCCTGTCTTTTTCCATAATTATGTTAAAACTAAGAGAGTTATGGTCACTAGACCCAAAGTGCTCTCCAACAGACATTTCAGTCACTCACTTACCTGACCTTGTTTCCTAAGAGAAAGTCCAGTGTTGAGTCCTCTTGAGTAGGGCCCTCTACATATTCATTTAGGAAATTTTCTTGC